CCTCGCCATCTACCCATGAAAACAGACGCCTCATGCTTCGCCTCATGCTTCGCGCGCTCGCGATAGAAGGTATCAAGCAGTGCGAAGGAGAAGAAGAAGAAGAAGAAGAAGAAGAAAACCGCACCACGCGCTAGTGGCTCAGCAAGGGAATTGAATTCCGCACATTCGTTTTCATTTTCGACGCCATGACATGGAGGAGAGAGGGGAGAGGGGCCGGAACAGAACAGAACAGAATAGAATAGAACATACACCGCGAGTTTTCCATCTCTTGATCGAGAGAGGCTCTGGCGAGACTGGATGCTGGAGGAGGAGCGAGGTGGGGGGGGGTGGGGGTTNAGTAGTAGAGAGAGAGAGAGAGAGAGAGAGAGAGATGGGATCAACGAGGAAGCTGTAGCTTGAGAGCTGTACATCGAGAGAGCTGTAGCTTGTAAACGGGCGCTCGATGTACAATTTCCTTTCCCCTACATCCATCGATTCTCGTTTCCGACTCGCGGTCATTCAAGTCGACGTCGCCGTCGTCATCGTCGTCGTCAGGAAAGCAGATTGATGATCGCTGGTGGGGGCGGGGTGGATTGGGGATCGGGATCGGGATCGGGATAGGGATAGGATGGACGACTGTTGCGATGGCGATTGATGAACTTGTGAAGTTGTGAAGGGGTCTCGCGGAAGTGATTCAGGTGAATGCATACTGGCTGAGCTGGGAAAGAGGATAGTTTATGTATCATTTTCCACGGTCACGAATCGATGCGCTGAGGGTAACGTGATGGGCGAGCTGTATCATGGCCCCCCCTACGGTACTTCTCGTCCCCAGCACGCATCCATTTTCGCATTCACTTTCGCACTCACTCGCTCACCTTTCCCCGATTCGCTTCGATTCGATTCGATTCAATTCAATTCAATTTCCAACATTTCGAACCTGAAAGAAACGCCAACAGAGAGAAGCCCCCACTCCAGTAGCGCACGCCGACACCCCATTGGCCAGGCCACCCAAGCGAGAGAGCGGGGCCCGCCCTCTCTCTCCCACGAACCCCGCGGGTTCCCCACCACTCAACCCCTCCGACCCCCCCCCCTCAAAAAAAAAGAACAAAAAAAAATTAAGGTCACGCCTTTCGCCTGTCTAACAACAAAAACACAAAAACAACCAACACAACCAACACCACCGCACCGGAACGCCCCCAGCCCCAACCCCGCGCGGAAGGAAAGCCCAGAATGAGCGCGCGTCAATGGGCACCATGGCTGAGCATCGAGATCGAGATGATGGCGTGATGAGCGGCGTGTGGGGTGTGCTGCGCAACGCGGCAGATGAAGGTGAGTGTGGTGCTTTTTGGGAGGGGGGGGGGGTGGTACATTCTGTTTATTTTTTATTTTTTTTTTAGGTTGGGGGGTTTGGGACCTCGCGGTGCTCTTCTTTTCCTGGATCACGGGGAAGAGGGAAAGAGAGAGAGAGAGTGAGAGAAAGGCAAAAGTCCCGATTGGGAGGCGTTTCTTCGGACGCGCGAGACTTGGGTGGAATGGCCGCCCTGGGCTGGCAGTGCTGTGCAAGTGCAAGTGCAAGTGCTGTACAGGCAAGCAGGCAAGCAAGTGCCGCCCTCCTGGCTGGTCGGGTGGTCGAGTGGTCGAGTGCGAGGGTGCCAATGTCCTTTGCTTTTCCTGGTGCGGGGTCCCTGGATGGCACGTGATGCGGTGATACGATCGCACTGGGGCAGCTTTGAGCCTCATCCAATCCTTCCCAAGCGGTTCTTTTACCTTGTCTTGCCAGCCGTTTCCTTGGGTCGTGCGTGAGAGAATTCAAAGTGAAGGCAAAAGCTTTACAAGCTAGCGCACCGAGACTGACGGCTCCTCCTTCTCACCAACCAGGTATCTCCATATCAGAACTCTTTGAGCTGCTGGGCGACGCTATCAAGAATGACGAGGGCGCCAAAACTGAGATATGGGCGGGTTTGGTCACGAGACACGATGTGATCGAGGTCGGTAAGCAGTTGCCTCTGAATCAGTCGCCGCTGAGGCTGGTGGCGGTGGATTTTCTGCTGGAGTATGGGTTAGGCGGAACGAAGATACGGCTGCAGGGGGAGAAGGTGCCGGCTGAGGAGCAGGTGCCGGTTGAGGAGCATGTACTACCAGTCAAGGGGAATGCACCTGCGGAGGAGAATACGCCTGTGGAGGAGAATACGCCTGTGGAGGAGAATGCGCCCGGGGAGGAGAAGGAAGCTGCCGAGGAGGGCGAGACTATCCAAGAAAGTGTCGCTGCTGCTGCCCAGGAACAAGTCACGTCGACGAACAACGAGTGCGGAGACGTGCCTGAACAGCAACTGGTCACTTCAATCGAGTCGGACATACCACAAGAAACTGCAGAGAGCCAGACACCTCGAGACACGCAGACCTTGAGATCACGGCAGGTACGCAGACAGCCGCAGACGTCGCCCGGTGCTACCCCAAAGCGCAGAGGACGACCTCCCCGACGAAGTATCTACGATCAGCTTGTCCAGCAGGGAGAGAAAGAGCTCGCACCAGCTTCTACTCCTCTGCCTCACGACTATGTAGCAGGAGACCCGGGAGTCTACATCGACCCACCCGGGTCAGAGCTCCCGGCTGAAGCTCGGAAGAGTGGCGAAGGCTCATGTATCGCCGTCTTCAAGTCTGCAGCTCTGAAGGACCCCCAACGTCTAGAGAATGGGAAGGGCTCATGGAAATCACACATCATGTTGGCTGTTGCCAAGGCAAAGCTGGCTCTCGAGGACAAGGTCGCTGCGAATTACACCGCGGCCGGCCGGCTCAAAAAGCCTGGAAGACCAAGAAACGATGCTACGCAAAAGCGCAAGAGAAATCATCGTGGTGACCCTGGCGAAGATGGTGAGCTGTCAGATAAGGAACAAGATCCGAAAGAGAATTCTGGGAAGCCCCCAGCCGGACCACCTCCCTCACCGGAGACCGCACATGCCGTCGCAGAAGAACATGGCAACCAGCTCGCGTCAGAGATTCCGCCCCCATCACCTGCTCTCGAGATGCCTGGCCCCAAGAAGCGCCAGAAGGGAGCCAATGGACAACCATCAGTCCGCCGGGCCCCTGTGCCGGCTAGTTCTAATCCTTGGGACTTGCCTACAACTCGGAACAAGGGGGAGAACGACAAGTCAGTGGAGGTAGACGAGCACGACGCCATGCTGAGAGGGCAAAGTTATCCATATGGCGCACAAGCCATGCAAGAAGCAACCGCTGCTGCAGCTCCTATCATATTACCGCAGCCAGAAACTCAGACCCATGGACCTCCTGAATCAGCCTCGCGACCTGTCAATCCAAATGATACCTCCGTATCGTCTTCCCAGCCAGATGCGAATCAGACCTCCGGCCATCCATTCCGTTCTGAGTCGCCAGCCGGGAGCTACAGAAGCATCTACGGCTCCCAGGAGCCACAAAGCCCTGTAATGTCCGCACTTGGGATGGGTCCCAGACGCCCGAGTTTCCCCACATCCTTTTTCCAACGCTCCCAAACGCCGACGGCTCTCCAACCCTTCCCGTCAACAGATTCTCCTGCCAACCCCCTTAGTATGTATGGGGCTGGAAACTTCTCGGCCCTGTCTGGTTTTGGTAGAATGCAAATCGGAACCATGCAGGCCCTTACAGGCGCCAAGCCAACTGGCCTACTCTCGCCCTCTGTATTTCCAAACACCTCGTCGACCGCTTTACCCGGCAATGCACAGCATCATGATGATCCGCAGACGACGCCATCGGGATATACAAACCAGTCTGTTCCGCCTCGGCCAATATCGCCATCTACGGACTCGGCGACAACTGAAGTGCTTCCCACTCAAAAGCCGATTTCCCAAACACTCTCCTCCAACGAGTCTCAGATTTCCGGTCCTTCTAAGGAAATTTCTGGTCTTCCACAACCCGCAGATACTTCAGTTCCATCGGTGTCTGAAGCTCGTGGCGGTCTACGAGGCAATGGTCGTGGTCGCGGTAAGACTCGGGGTGGAGGTCAGCGCAGAGGTCGTAGTGGGAAGTTGAGCAAAGAGCAGCCCGGTGAACATGCCTCTTCACAGCCAACTCAAACTCCTTCTGGTTCCATGCAGGATGCCACTACTACTGAAACGTCCCCGCTTCCGACTTCGGATAGCATCATTGAACCACACAATTCTCTGGGGGGAGCTCGTGGTAAAGGTAGAGCTAGAGGTCGCGGTGCCGCCCGAGGAAGAGCTCGCGGAGGGTCTCGAGGTGGATCGAGCGTTCCAAGCATGAGCTTAAATGATCCGCCACCGCCGCTGGGTACCGTTACAGCTGTCGAGCAACCTTCAGCGGCTCTGGAAATCCCACAGGCTCTCTTGACCAATGTACCAACGGTTGCTAAGCAATTGCCAGGTACTACAGTACTTGGTATCCAAGCGGCATCTCCTATGCTCGAGGAGTCTGCTGAAATTGCTCCGGATGCTGCTGAGCCTCATGATCGCTCCGTCCGTCAACAAAACAAGGTACCAACAACCTACAATACCGAGGTTCTTACTGGCACAACGGTCCACACCCCACACAGAGATGTAAAGGATGCTAAAAAAGCCACCAAGAAGCCGCGTGTGCAATCTCAAGCATCACTTGGGATCCAGCAATTTTCAGAACCAGCTGATACATCGACTGCTACTGAATCTAACGTTCCTACGGCTACAGACACGTCGATTGCAGTAGAAAGTCGGGCCGGACCTCAGTCACTACCCAAACCTCTCCAAGAACAAGAATCAACAGCTGGTGGCCCGACGACGGTTGCTCCTTTTATTCCTCAGGTCAATAACACGCTGAGTCAAGTGGTTAATCCCACGGCTGTACCTGTTGTACTCAAGGGGTCATGTGGAACTCCTGAGACTGCCGCATCCCATCACTCAGCAGCGGCTGGGCAATCGGCCGATATCTCAATGATCGAATCCTCTACCATCCTTCCCGTTACAAATACACCGACCTTTGTGGTAAATGTTGAAGTTCTATCGCCCGTGCAGTCAGATGAAGCTGCTCTCCAGCGCCGTCAAGAACTGGACGAATCAGCTGACGTCTTGATGGTCGAAAATCCTGTTCATCCCCTCGAGACAGACACATTGGATTCATCAGACACTCAAATTGGATCTCGGGCGCCAATGCAGACTGATGGTTCTGTTGTGCAGCCAGCAAATCTGGTGGCAATTGAGAATGGAATTCCGCAGGCACCTGCAATTCAAGCCGAGCAAGCTCCGGTCGACCCCGACAAATCTAAGAAGAGAAAGCTTTCGGAAGTGGCAGATGACAACTCCAATCAAGAGCCCCCTCAGAAGAAACCTGTCTCGAAGATAGCATTGAGGAAAATCGAGACGGCTAAACTGCAAGCCGACATCTCGGAGGCCGAGGCTGTCGAAATACGAAACTGCACAGCTCGATTTTCATGCTCGTACGAGGAAAAGATCGGCAATCTGCTCCTCTCAAACGATCAGAAGATAGTGGAATTCTTCTCCTTGGATCAGCACCCCCCGCAAATGTCTATTTTGAGTCTGCGAGTCTCTAAACTCATCGGGAACCCAGTCGTTTCCATGAAGGGATCATACCCCATGGGCCTTCACCTCAAGGTTCTGCGCGATGATAAGACTGATGTCACACACCGTTTCATTTTCGCCGCGACAGAAGCAGGAAACACCGCAGCAGCCAACATGCGATGTGCGATTACTGGAGCCATTGTGTTACTGACCATGGAAGGCGGCGACTACGAAACCATCCAGGAAACAAAGATTGCAGGCGAAAAGCCATTTCAATGCCATCTATGCAAAGGCAGATTCAAGAATCCCAATGGCTTGGAATACCACCTCAACAAGGCACGGTCGTCATGCAACCCCAACTTCGTTGAGGATCGGGATCTGGACAAGAGATCTCTCCGGCACTTGAATTCGGGAAAGCCGCGAACCACAAAAAAGAAGAAGACAGTGCAGTGGAAGCCTGCTGAGGACGAAGAGGACGACCTTGGTATCGATCTCATTGATAACGCCGAGGAGAAAGCCAGCAGTGGCGATGAGTCCATTGTAGAGTGGTGGGAGAAGAACAACACGGCGGCGCTTGATACACCACAGAACGCTCGGAACGCCCGGAGACCGGGCAAGAGATACATGGCTCTGAATCGGGAGGGTGATATCGCAAGCGAGATCACCAGCGAACTTCCGGAAATCGGTCTTGTTGAAAACGGACCGCTGCCTGATAATTTTATCAAGCTGGATCTGGTCACTGCGTCCGGTGTGGCAGAAGCCATGTCATGCAATGAGTTAAACGAGGCATGGTACCAAGAGGTTGTCGTTTCTCTGGTCAAAAACCACGGAAACGTCTTCGCTGCCGATCGGAGCGTCTGGTTCGCCAGTGTAGCTGTCTGGTTGAAGCAGCACCCGGTCACAAATGTCCTTCCCGAGTCCAAGTTCTGCGCCAAGGCCATCGATGATCTCGTTCAGGCCAAGAGCCTCAATCGACTGAATTTCTCCTACACCAGCCGCAGGAGCAGAGTTGCCACTCGAGGAATAATCACATGTCCAAGCCTTGATGTGGATAATGCGCGAGTCGATCATTTAAAGACCGTGATCCAGGTCTACGACCCACAATTCTATGTCCCGTCACAGTTTGCGCCTTCACAGCCGATACTCGACAAATTGCAAATTGTTGCTGCCCGGGCTCTCCCCCGTCTTCCTGTTGTGGAAACAATCGTCGACGAAGAATCGGAGCCGTCCCCTGATCTACAGGCCGGTGTTAGTGATGACCTCCTCGTTGACGATGAAGAAAGCTCCGCAGAGGACGAGTTCGTGATAGACGACAACGAGGAGGCAGAAGAGGACGAACCCGATTTCGACGAGGACGTCGAGGAAGACCTTGACATGGGAACTTCTAGCAAGAAGCGACGTCGTCGGTCCTCCAAGTCCCCGGGTCCATTCACGAGGAAGCGGGATCCCAACCACAATGCCAAGATCGCAGCTGGCGTGCGTCGCAGAATGGCGGCCATCAGATCAGGTGCTCAGCCGAGTCCGTATCCCTGGAACATCAAGCGGGCTTCTCTCACGAAAGAAGAGAAGGACAGACGTGCGGCTGAAGACAAGAAGTTCTTCAAAGAGAGAGCTGCGTATCGTGCTGTGCAACAACAGTGTTGGGGCAACACTCCTGCTTTCATGCCAAACACCACTACTGGTGCTTGGGATCAAGGAGGCCCTCCTTCGAAACCCGAGAAGCCTGCCGGGATGTCGAAGAGAACTCGTCATGCTAGACGTCCCCACCTCCCAGAGCCAGTTACATTCATGCAAGCAATGGATGGATCTTGGTCAGTTCGGCCATTTGGTCATGGAGTAAATCCAGTGTATGGTCGCCCAGCTCGCCGAGCCGCAGGAAGCCTGGGATACGAGGCTTACCGCAAGAAAAGAGAGGATGGGCATCGTCCGCTAATCGAACCTCCTGTATCCAACAGAGTGCATCTCCCTCAACCTCCATCGAAGAGATTGATGGACGCAATCAAGAAGGGAGCTCCCTTGGACCCAGAGACTGGCCTACCAAAGCGGAAGCCACGAGGTGGTCAGAGACGTAATAGCCAAAGAGCCACGTCAACTCCATACTCCGACTACGAATTTGATGATTACTGGGATGAAGATAGCGAGGACTTCGAAGTACCTCCTGCAAAGCGCCAGAGGACTGTCGACGCCTCGCCTGGAAAATTGACGGAGCAGCCTCGCGCTGAGCATTCAAGGGGTGTTGAATTAATATCGCCTGGGCCCGACAATCTGTTAGATGTCCGAGTCCCATCAGTGCGACTCTCAAGAGCTACCGGCAAGCCTGTGCGTATGTACAATCGTCACTTTCCCAAGCAAGTCTTTGTACAGGAGCTCGATGCGATTAATGATGCCTTCGAGCCGAAGGGGTCGAGATTTGTGCATAGAAATGGATCGAAGCGCCTCAAGGGCTTGAGCGAGGTGGATATCTTAAATTTTTATGAGCCAAAGAAGTTGGGTCATAAGGATGCCATGAATCCTGGTCTGAATACGATGCCAGCCGGCTTTGGACTCTCTGGGTCAGAACGCAACAAAGCTGGGGGATATCCGTCGAAGTTTGAGTTCATGGCATTTGTCGAACCAGATATCGTTGCAGAAGGCAAGGACCCGTTTGTCGGATCGTGGACAGTGGATCGCATGGATACCAGCAATTCGAAGGATTACACTGTCCGATGGGACGATACAACAAGCTTTACACTTGAGGATCTCCCATACGATAAGCTAGAGGGCGATGATTCAGAGAGACTCGAATGGACCTACGAAAAAGAAAAAGAAGAAGTGGAAGTAGAAGTGGCCAAAGCAAAAGTCAAGCGCAAGCGTACGGTGAAACCTTCGACTTTTCCCACTGCTTCTTCCAAACAAAAACAAGACGAGAAATATAATTTCACTCGAATTCAGACCGCCCTGCCTTCGGATCTGTCGGATATCTTGGACCCTGCGATTGCTTCACGAGTCTTTGGTGTCGAGATCGGAACCCCCAACGAGGTGACCGTCAAGAAGTCCCGAAATCTGGGCAGCAATGTCTTACTCTCGGAGCTCGAGAATCGCTTCATTGTCACCGTGACGGTCATCCGCACGTTGACTGGCGGTCTCGATGCCCAAATCGACTGGGTACTGGTCGCGGAGATGTTTTCTCAATACTCGCTAAATTTCCTCGCCAAGACCTGGAAAAACCTCCTTGCCGTAAAGAAGCCGGCCATCAAGGAGCTGGAAGAGGAGTTCCGAAAAGTCTTCCTGGAAGCTTATCAGAGTGGCGAGATTCCGCCTCTCAATTTCAACAAGTTGACCGAGTATCCATGGAGCACACTTATCGACTGGGTCATGGAGAACGTGGAGAGCTCGCTCAGCAACAAGAAGATTCCTCTCCCTGGCACGAAAGCAGAACTTGACTCCACCTACGAGGTCGTGGCTTTCAAGGAGAACGAGAAGGAAATTCGAGCCCCCTGGAGAGAATACTTCTACCACCCTTCCATGGCAGTCTACAAGCGGTTCGAAGGCGCAGCTTCCGAGGCCTTAACCGTACCCGTCGGCAGCAAATCACGCATCAAGGACGAAATCGACCACCCGGCCGTCATCCGATCCTGGATCCGCGCCGCCGCAGCAACTCCCGACGCCCAATTCGACGCGGCCGTTGCCAAATCAAAGATGGACTCGTTCCGCCCCACCGACGTTAGGGACGCCATCAACGAATGCGTGGACAACAAATGTATCACGCGCCGCAGGGTAACGAAACCTGTCAACGGCAAAACATTTTCCATCCCCGATACCTGGACCACCAAGTTCCGCCGCCATATCAAGGATCCACAGTTCGTCGAGGCAGTCATGTTCAAGCGCTGGATGGACGCGCAGTTCCGCAGCGGCGTGCAGTGTATCAAGGGCGACTACTTTGCCAACGAAGGCGCACTCATGGTCCTCACTTCCCTGCAAGCCCATGGCCGCCTCTCGTTCGTCGGCGTCAACGTGCCGAAGAATCGCTTCGGACTCGGCGACGGCGGCTACGAGACGAAGAAGATCCCCAAGGAGGCTTTCATCTGGGACATTGACATCTACCCCACGGAATCATACGTCTTCGACGACGAGAACCCCGTGCTGCAGCGCTTCGGGGAGGTGGGCCCTCCGCGCGGTGGCAACAGCGGGGAGATTCCCATCTGGTTCAGCATCAAGGAAGAGGTGGTGCCGGAGATGTGGAACCGCATCTTCGCGGGGGTGGCGCAGGTCGTGGCGCTGAGAGCGGGTATTGGGCTCGAGGGCCTGAAGAGCTCGTTCAAGGAGGCTCTGGAGGATTGGGAATGGAAGCTGATTTGTCAGTGGGGGGTTGCGATGGGGGTCTTTGTGGAGGTTGGTGGAGGAGAGGAGACGGGGGCCGTGGAGGGGTACTCGGCCGGCGAATGGTGGTGGGCTGTTGTCGGTGCGGGGTGTGCGGATATGCTGCAGAGACAGGCGCCGGAACTGCCCGAGCCTGCTCCTACTCCCCAGGGGGGTCAGAATCAGAGGGAAGACGTGGCGATGGGGGGTGTATGATGAGATTTGGCGCGGGGTGGGAGGGGACAAAACAGGTTGGGAAATTTGGAGGTTTTTTTTGCGTGAGCTTGGCATTCGCGTTGGCGTTGAAGTGAGCGTTGCATTTTTGGCGTTCGTTTTGAGGGGACATGCATGCTCTTTACATATGGGAGAGAGAGAGAGAGAGAGGGAGGATCACAGCACTCATCTCATCTCTCATCTCATCTCATCGTATCATACCTTTGCCTTTTAATCCCTTCTCGACGACGAATCAAAACACAGAGTCTAGATCCCTGTTTGTATACCAGTAGTAGATTAGATTAGATCTTATCGATCAAATGTATAATACATCCATCCACACCTATATGCTTAACTTAGGTCTGATAGTCAATCAGTACGCCGACTGACTGATTGTGAAGCTGCTCGGCGAGCTCTCTCTCTTTCTTTCTCTCTCGCTCGGGGGTTGGCATAAAGGAACTAACTCACTTGATAACATGACGAAGCGATGGAACTATGGTTTTGATACTTATATTATTTAAAATATAGGCTTAATCTGATCTGATCTAACTAACTAATTTTTTAACTATCTATCTATCTATCCAACTATCCAACTATCCATCTATCTATCTATCTATCTATCTATCTATCTATCCATCTATCTATCTATCCATTCAACTATCTATCTATCCATCTCTATATCCCCACCCAAGAAAACGAAAGCGAACCAGGTATGTATGTAACCAACCAACCAACCACCCAACCACCCAACCAACAACTCACAAGCTAGCAACCGCTCAACTACCTAACATGCGACTACGTACCCCGTCTGCATCATCTCCGTCTCTCAGTCTCTATCGCGGCACATTTGAATCTCAATCTGTATCTGAATCTGTATCTGAATCTGAATTTCAATTTGAGATTTTCAATCATTTTTTTCGCTTTGCAGGGTTGTGGTTTCACACTACGTCCCAGGCGTGAGTAAGTGAGTGAGTGAGTGAGTGAATAAGTAAGTAAGTATTAATTGATTGATTAATTTACGGTCACTCCTTGAGGGCTGGGAGGGTCACGAGGGGGTTGAGGAGGGGGGAGGGGACTTTTGGAGGTACCCTCGGGGGGGGGTGATACGATGTGGGTTTGTGGGGTTGTGGGTAGTAGTTCTTATATTCTACTTCGTATAGCATTTTCGTGTCTCTTCGAGTCGCGATGTTATATTATATTACATTACATTATATTATATTACACTACACTACATACAACTCCAAGAATTGCGATTTTTGATTTCTCTTTATCATTATTTTTTAGTAAATATCTAGCTTCGTCTTTTCCTTTATTCGTTCCTTCGTTCCTGTCGATCGAGATGATACAGATGATACAGATTACTTTAATTTAGTAATCAACGCTGGAGAAGAAGAAAAAAAAAACGCCATGCTGGTAGATACGTAGGTACGCTTCTCGCATCCTAGATCTGACTCCCGACTCCGAGATCCCATTCCGGTATATTATCAATTAAACCTCCCTCTGCCCTCCCTTTCCCCTTCCCCCCCCCCGACGACTCACCCCCTCGCCTACCAAACCCCCCGACTAACCCCCCTCAAATCATCCACGTTCAACACATCAACGCCCTCCCTAACCAACACATCCCAGACGTGATTCCGCAGTCCCATAGGCCAGCTAGGCGTATCCCAATAGCGGACCTTCAAGCCGCGCCGGTGCGCGCCACGGACCTGGCCGCGGATGGTGGCGATCTGCTTGGGCGTGAGCCGCCCGCGCCACGTCCGGCCGACGGCGCGGGAGAAGGGGGCGGAGGCGTAGTAGCTGTTCAGCGGCGTGAAGGAGGAGGAGGGCGTGGTGCCCGTGTGGCCCTGGTCCTGGGGAGAGGAGGATGAGGAGGAGAAGGAGGATGGATGTGAAGGGGGGGTGGCGGCGCAGGGGGGGTTGTCATGAGGAGGAGAAGGAGGAGAAGGAGAAGGAGAAGGAGAAAAAGGAGTTTCCCACATGGTGTCGAGGGGCGCGTCGAAGAAGGCGTCGCGGTATGTCGAGTTTCGGGTTAGGAGGTCGAAAGGCGTGTTGCCTGTCCCGACTACGGTGACGGGTCGCGTGTGTAGCTCGCCGTCGGACACGAAGCTCAGCCAGCCGCGGTCGCGCAGCGGCTGCAGCTGGGCCAGCACTGCGGGCCAGGTCTCCGGGCCGGCGGTCTTGACGTCGATGAGTAGGGTCAGGGTCTGCGCCGGGTCGACGTCGAAGACGCCGTTCCGCCGGGTCCCGTTGTCGTTGTTATTAGAGGAGAAATCAGTGCCGGCGTTCTGGCCCTCCAAGATTTTGACGAGGGGGTCGATGTACAGGCTGGCGAAGGTGCGGTTGCGCGTCAGGGACGCCCGGTTGTGGCCGACGTACAGCTCGGGGGCGGCGTCGTCAAAGAGCCACACGTCAGCTTCGACGCTGGTGCAGCCGTTTCGGAGGGCCGAGAAGAGGGGGACCCGGCGCCAGTAGTCGTTGTGCGAGTGACAGGCGATGGGTTGGATGTCGCGCGTGAAATCCGTAGGGTACCAGGCGAGGCCGTCGGTCCCTGTACCGGGTGCGCCCCAGTTCCGTAACGTGTCGTCGAATTCTGGGTCCCAGAGGAGGGTTGTGAGGGTTAGGAGGAGGTTGACTGCGAGCAAGACGGTACTGTTTTTTGTTTTTCTTTCGGTCAGCCGAGTCCATCTCAAATGCACTTTTCGCTTTCCACTTTCCACTTTCTTCTGGGTTGGGTTGGGAGAATACGCACAGAATCGCCAACCCGCTAATCCCGCCGAAAATGCAGTAATTGCACCAGGATATCCTCCGCTTAGGCGGTTTGTCTGCAGGGGAAGATGCGTATCCCTCGGTCGCGGTCGCAGTCGTGGTCGTGGAGAGTAGAGGAAGCCCGTCTTCGTCTTTATACGCCGCCACGCTTCCCCGTCCACTGCTCATACTCTCTAGACTTTCTTTCCTCCAATTCCTCACGGTCATTCTGCCCCACCAGCCCAGCTTCTTGCCTGTCCAATTCGTCGGCTGCCCTCCCTTGCCGCCCTGCAGAACGCCATCTTCTAAATCATAAGGCGGGCAGTGGTGGTCGTCGAAGCAGGACCTCGTCGGGGAGAGATCCGAGTACTGTCTATCGCAGGCTTGCGATTGGTGATGCGGTGATGTTTCGTCGACCTTGCTCCTCTCTCGGTGTTGATTTGCCATTTTGGCGAGGGCTTAATGCCGATAGAATGGAATGCAGTATCGAGCTGTCTCGGCAGTTGTCTTGTCTTATACGATTAGAAGTGTGTTCAAGACTTGGCCATACGGAAAATTGATTCTCAGGCTTAGTCTCGGACTTAGTCTCCGTCCAAGTCTGAATAAGTCAAGTTCGAGTTCAAGTTCAACTTTGAGCGTTTAAGCTCAAGTCTAACGCTTGCAAGTGGACATCCTCGCCTATATAGCGCAACGGCCAGTGAATCCGTTTTGCACGTTGCAGCACCGAGCCCTATGAGGGATTTTGCTCGGATGAGTCTGTCGGGGGGAGAGGTATTGAGTAATGTATCGTATGGTATCGTCTCGTCTCGTACGGCACAGTTGCACCTCTCGACTGTTGCAACCGGCGAGGTGGAATGGATTGGAATGTCACTGCGCTAGCTGTCTGGTTTGGCCTGGTTTGGCCTGATTTGGTTTCGTTTGGTTTGGTTTCAAAGCGGATGTCACTAGGAATGCGGCAGCACCTGTAGGATCCCGAGCACCGAAAGATCTGGTACGCATAGTGACAGCCTTTGCAGGAACGGTAGTCGATAGGTGAGGATATATGTGTATATATACATATACTTCTCAAGCCTCAAGCCTCAAGCCTCAAGCCTCAAGCCTTGAGCCAAGCACCAGCATAGGCAAAAGCGCACCCATCTATCCATTTCCATGACACCGTTGCAGTTCTCCTCTCTCGCTGGAGCCAGTGAGAGGCCGCGGATCTGGCACATTGGGCGGCCGTGGGCTTTGCGCACTGGTCCATCTCTTCGCTTGAGAGGACGGACAAGTTGGTGGACCGTGATAACCAGATCTACAGGTCTAGAATTCGACGTGCGTCGAAGTGCGTCTGGACCAGCGGTCAATGGAACGTGCGAGGATGAGTAAATGGTGAGAAGCTTATTGCATGATCTCCGAAGCTTGAATTGACTGGGCTGGGCCAGGCACGGGAATTACCCGGTCGTGTGTCGATACATACAGCGTACGTTAGAGTAGGTATTCATATTAAATTTTTGGTTAATACAAAGGTAGTAAATACTCAACTCAAGCACCATGCATAACAAACAAGAAAATCGGACATGCGAACGAGGATCGTGATCCAGTCTGGCGGGCTGCGAATGCCGACCCAAGGCGGTCTGGTCTGCTCGATTCTGCCGCCTCACTACGAAACTTTTCTCTAACCACAACTCAAGGGTATCAATCCCGTCTCTATCGTCGCATCACATCCCAAACATCACACTTCACACGCAGCCATGCCGCACAAACACACCCGGAAAGGCGTTGTGGACAAGTCGACGTAAGAATATTCTCTCTGCCATGCCCTCCCCTGCCCTCCCCTGCCTCCCTTGAATTCCCAATGCGGCGCCCGTGAAGCTACTCCCAGCTTGCAAACCCCTACTCTGATCGCTGATACGATACAACAGAATTGACCTCCCCCCCTCCGTTACTGCAAAACCCCTATCGACCGCCAAAGGATCCGCGACCAACGGCATCTTCACAACCGATCTCGCAACCACCAAACGCGCCAACAAAAAGCGCAAGCGCAAAGACACCGACGATGACACGCCCAAGGCTTTCGCGCGCCTCATGGCCTTCGCCCAGGGCAAGAAACTGCCCAAGGGCCTCGACGACGGGGTAAAAGAGACAAAAGCCGAGAAGAAGCGCAAACGCGCCGCCGAGAGCGGAGCCGCGAACCCAGGCGAGGACCAGGTCGCGGAGAAGGTCGCGGAGAAGGCGGACGTGATGACGATCCGCCCGGGAGAGAAGATGTCGGAATTCTCGGCCAGGGTGGACGCCGCGCTTCCGGTGTGCGGGCTCATCAACAAGAGTGTGCGGTCGGGCAAGGACCCGCTGGGCTTGAAGGTCGGCCGGACCAAGACGGAGAGGCGCATGCATCGCATGTACGACGAGTGGCGGGCCGAGGAAGCGCGGATCCAGGAGCGGCGGCAGGCAGCGCGCGAGCTGGCTGAAGAGGAAGAGGAGGATTCCGATGGGCAGGTGAGGTGGAAGGCGGAGATGGGCGCGATGGGTGAGGGGACGGGGAAGACGAGGAGCGGGAAGAATAAGAAGAAGAAGAAGGGGAAGAAGATTGGGGAGGTGGACGATGGGGAGGATGATCCGTGGGCGAAAGTGGGTAGGGATAGAGGGGAGGGCAAGGTCGCATTTGGAGATGTGGCGCAGGCGCCGCCGGTGTTTACGAAGGCTCCCGGGGAGAAATTCAAGGTGCGTGGGGCGAGAGTCGAGGTCGAGGATGTGCCCAAGGCCAGTGGGAGTCTTAGGAGGAGAGAGGAGCTAGGGACTGTACGGAGGGAGGTTGTAGAAGGGTATAGGCGAATGATGGCTGCTGGCAAGGAAAAGCCCACGCCTGATGCCGAGGAGGCGTAGGCCCATCATTGTGTAAGTTGATGTTAAAGTCTGGGGTAGAACGAACCATCCGCGAGCCTGGTTCTGTGCAGCACTAGCTCTATGGGACTGTCATCATGCTGAATAACAACTACAACAACGACAACGACAACGACCTTCCCACAACTCCTTTCGTGCTTGGCCTTTTCTCTCTTATGGTCCCCGTCGTCTACTTTCCTCTCTCCCCTCTTCCCCCCTCCACCCCGTCTTCCACCCTTTCCACCCCACTCGCCCCGCTGCGCTAGTATACAAGGTATTGCGTGCAACGGTACTGTGCTGTAGGAATTGGAAAGGGAATAGTAGCAGCGGGGGCAGGTGGGGGGGTCTCTCGACTTGGGGTGGCTCTCTATGTTGAATTTGGAGGACTCTGCATCGTAGGGTAAGTGCGGCGACTTGGTCCTTGGGCGGTAAGGGTGTGAGTTGCTTGCAGGATGCTGGGGTAGGGGTTGGGAGGATCTTCCGATATTTTCTTGGGTTAGCCGAAGCAATAAAGTTGAAGGGGAAGAGGCTTATGTTGGGGATGAACAGAGGAGATGCTGATGACACTGAGCCAGCTATACCATGACATGAGAAGTAAACAAATGGTAACAACACATGACCTTCTTCGTCAGTCACCCTTCGCATTTCACGTCATAACGTTTCGAGATGACTGGCTCATATAAAAACATGGCAGTTGGGTATATCATTCCCCTGGGTATCTGTCATAATTCATGAATCGCTTTGCGCCTCACACATCGCAATTCTGTCTCCCAGCAGCTGCAAATCCATCTTCGACCCCCCGACATGTGCAAGAGCTTCGGGACTTGGTTTCAAGGCCTTCAACCCCTTCTCCTGAGCCGCCTTTAAAGGACCTAGATAAATCTCCTCAACGACGGTCATCATGCCCGCTGGGACCAGATGCGAATAATTCTTTCCGCCAATAAAGTAGAGAAAATTTACTACAGCCATATGAAATGGGAAAGATTGCTCCAGCTCTTGCAGTAGTTCCTTTTCAGGCGCATCGGCTAGTGGTGACGTATCCGGAAATAGATATGGCTTGGCAGCTGCGAGTGCAACGGTAGTCGAGAAAACGTTTTCTGACTTCCTGCTACTCGCCGTAATGAGCTCTTCTTTCAACCAAGACACCGCTGATCCTTTCAAGGGCTCGTACGGACAGTGCTCCAACGTATCACAGATAAACGTTAAACGCAAACGATCAACAGGGTGCGCATGCAGAATTGAAGACGTAAGAACGTGAGCAGCATATCTTTGAGTTGGGGAGGGAGTGTTAGCGGAGAGTAAGGATATGGACTGAAGGTGCTGAAGGAATTCCTCGTCTTCAAGCGGGCCAGAGACGAAATTGTTGTTGTGTTCAAGCCAGAGCCCAAGAGCCAGAACAGCATCAATAACTCCTGCATCTTCACTTCCAATACCAGCGGGTCCATTGGTTCCTATGAATTTCTGGACAAGCTTGGCGTGATCGGGAAAAATTGCGAGTTTTGGAAGTTGTATTTTGGACTCGAAGAGAATTGAGGAGAAGACGAATGATGTTATTAGGAATAGGGCGCCTGCTAGGGATAGTGGTATTTCCCCTGGTGACGAAGGAAACTCGGTTTCTTCGGCAGGGTTTAGGTCAGTCTTGTAAATGGCATCAAAGAGAGTCGCGAAATCTGAGAGTCCCAGATCCCGCGATAAAGCCTGATATGTGTCAGAAATATACGGCCAACAATGGGACCAAAGTCGTGGATCATGGACTGAAACAGATGCAAAGTAGGATGAAATGCATCCATTTCAGTCCATGGCTTCCCAAGCACAACACTTACTACTATCTGCCCAACAATGGTAGACCTGATCTCAAGCGCGGGCTCATCTTTAAAGGACTGGCCCAAACTCTTTCTATTCGGAACTACCATTCGAGGGGCGAATTGTTCTTGTAGCCTGGCTGCCCAGTCCAAGGTGTTCGAATTGATGTATTCCTCCAGTAAATGTGTAACAAACGACTGCAGCAGCTTCTCTTGTATCGCTGCCTCTTCTGGGTCCTCATCTTGAGCCTCCGGGTCTGGTGCAGACGTGGCCGCTGACGAGCTATTCAATACTGTGGTTATGGCCAAACTTGACTTTCGACCCGGCAGAGATGGACGCTTTTTCCCCGATACGGTATGCACGAAGGAAATAACGGCAAGGGTCGCTTGGTCTGAGGGGCGGAATGCAGATAGGATTGCCATCAAGGATGTCGAGAGAAATCGTGATGGGTGTTTCGTCTTGATTCGAGGATGGAGTATAGCGAGGAGACCGACAAGGATACAGAATTTTTGAATAGAAGATGGCTCCGGCGTCGCGTCCTTTTGGTCTTCTTCATCCCCGTCATTCTCTTCCCTAGGCTCCTGTTCAAGCTCCAGAAGTTGCAAAGCCTCTGTGACCTTCAAAACCACCTCGCGAGGATTCCCCAGTCTCGCGATCGTATCTAGACATTTCTCGGATCCTGAAAGAGGAAGTAGAATTTGGATGAGATCCCAGCCGATGCTCTGCGTCAATTCTGCGTCCTGGAGGAAGTTGTTTAGTGTTGGCAAAATCTCTGGGGACATGTGGGTTTCGAGGATGGTCAGATATGTGACAGGGTCTGTTGCCGGTGGTAGACTCTCCGTAATGGCGGTAATGGTATAGTCGGCCATGGTGATCTGTGACTGGGGAAGCAAGTTGGTCATGAGCTGAAGTTGGAGTTAAGGCTGAGGCTGAGGCTGAAGTCACAGTTGAGATGGAGGTTGAGATAAGGCTGAATAATATATCGAAGCTACTTGACCCCGCCATAGTTGTGTGGTCCGTGCGCATATAAAGTCGGCTCGCTTCGCAACACAACTGTTGTTGTCTTTCGCTTCCATTCTAAGTCACCTGGTCGTTGCTGAAGAAATTTGTTGTTTCTCTCAATCTCTGGTATGATTAGCAAGGTTCTTGCGCGTAAACAGAACCACTCGTTCTGCGATGCATTCTCTGAATAGGCAAAGACGCAACCTCTTCAGCGTGACTACTGGATCTTTCAAGGTAGCTTCTCTGGCTATCCCAAGTTGCCATCATATTCGTGAGTAGGCTTACCCTAATGTACATTAATTCCTGACAGAATCCAAGATTCTCTTCGTGGAACAACATCAGCTCAAGCTTCATCACCTCTTCCCACTAGGCAACCCATAGCAGCTTCTGAGAACTATAAACGCACAATGGCAACCTTCCAAGAACCTACGAGGGGTGATGCGCAAGCTCTCTTCGAAGGCGTCGAGGAGAAATTTCCTAACAAAACAGTTGGCGACGACATATGGTATCTGGTAGTTGTAGGTTGGCAGATATCTTCTTTGGGGATCTATGAATACTGATATCTGCCAGCTTTCTGCTCTCGTGGGAGTCGAGCCTGAGCATGCTGCCCACTTATATACCTACCTCATTAAGAAACCTCAATTCTCTACATCTGAATCACGCCAGGCTCTCGTAAGACGTCTCCGTGAAGTTCTGGTCAAAAATGTCTCAGTCCAAGGAGTCTGCAAGCCTTTGGAAGCTCTGTTTGCGATTGGGAAGATTGAGAGACCTGAGGACAAGGACTACACATTTTCGAGGTATGGTTCCATTATTGTAAAGCCATGTTAGGCTGCTGAGGTTTTAATAGAGAGAACTGGCAAGCGGGGCCCGACAACTTAGCGCGGGGAGAGAAGTGGTTGAAAACTATCTACCAGGGAAACCTATCCACCTCCACAGATCCATTCAAAGCGCACAAGGACTTTGACTTCATCTCTCGCCAAATAACATACGGCTTCTATCTTTCTGACCATAGCATCCTTGGGCCGATCGAAACCGAGTTGGTTACCCTGGCGGGCATCATGATTCAAAATCTCCCCCTGGAGACGGGTTGGCATTTGCGTGGGACAAGAAGAGTTGGTGTTAGTATGGATGATGTGGAGACTATACAGCAATGCGTGAGTTGTGCTTTCGGAATCTCGGAGTCAGCTAACGGATACCAGATCGAGATGGTGGCGAATTATGGAGGCGCCCGGATGCACAAGGTTCCTAGAGTGAAGGACATTGAACATGAAGTCAAGAGCAATGATTAGATCATTTGACTGTCCTCATACCTTCGTGATATTGGGTCCGAATACACTGCCAGCAGCAGCATGCAAATTTTCTCTTCCTTCTTCTCTTCCACCCGAGGCTGTTATTGCTGCTCTGCATTGCTGCAACACCCCCAAACCTCATTAAAAATTCAATCATTACACGCGTTCCATTCGATGACCTCTCAGAGAATTTCTGGGCCTTTATCTGGCTGGCTGATTGAAACTTTCTAGATCCCTTTGAACGGATTTTTGGTCAGTTGTACTTGCCCTAGGGAGATACTTCGCCACTAAAACCATCTCGTTGGCAAGCGAGAGAGTTCTTGTAGCCCCTTCCTAACCTCCAAGACCCACCGGAATGTGCACTTCTCTGTAAGAAAACCTTCTTCCAATCCTACTCTATCATCACCGCGCCATTAAACGTCGGTTACCTTAAATTTAATTCGAAAGAATTGACCGACTGCTGTAGCGAGTCGGCACCACCAAGGCGCTATGCTTGGTTTGAACAGCATCATAAGCACTCTCGATCCTAGCCCAATTCATAATTGGCCCATATTCTGCTTTTGCGTGGTAAAATTCACGACGCAGCAGCCAGATGATGAAGTCCGGACCTTTTTGCAAGATTACTTACGGCGTGGAGCGATGATGACACCATGGAAGCGCTGATGACGATCGTGCTCCCAATTGAGGTCATGTATTACCTGCATCTGCCCTTGCATATGAGAGGCGAGACTGGAGATTCAGACGAGAGTATAAAGGACTAATGGGTGATAATCAATTATAGGTATACTCAAGAAGCGGAGAATCAGGAAGAGGCTGAAGTGGAAGAAGCAGATATTGCCCATCAGCAGGCTCTCGATGCGGCGGATCAAGACGAGGCTGCAGATGTTCAAGAATAATTTGCAAAGAAGTGGCGGAGGCTGCTGCCCAGGTGAGAAGGAAGAGCTGCTAATAGACCCGCTGAGGATGCTGAAATCCAAGAGGCGGTGCTTTGATTAGAATTGAGGATTCTCGTTCGGGCTCGTGAACATGGGCACTCACGCATTTGTGGGAGTAGTTCGCCTTGGCTTGATGTTTGTGCAGTTCTGAATCTTCCATAGACTGATTCAATTAGCGAATAGAGAGACGCCAGCCGCCAAACTCAGCGTCCTAGATATTATCAAAGCCTCGATAGTGGTCCTAAACTTATGCGGAATGACTATAAACATCGCAGCGCACTTCAAGGGTAGGTATCTAGAGACACAGTGATGACTATCTCCCGAATCTTCAGGCTGTTTACGTAGCCTGCAACCTGTTGTCGCGGGCCGATAAGCGCGGTA